CCGAGGCGGGACGGTCCCGGCGGAGCGCTCAGGTGGGATCGGCTCCATTTCCCAATAAAAACCGCCGGGCTCCGGCTCCGTGGGGTTACACAGAGCATCTGTGCGCTAACTCACAAGTGTCATATTCGGTATTTACCCTGGCTAAAGATACAAGCTTTTAAAAACCCCTTTAAAAGCAAAGCACTGTTATGTGATAACACAACTCCTTTAATTGCTCTTTAGCATTTGCAAGTAATTTGGCTTTTGTGTCTCTATATTGCAAATGCAGAACACTTGTTCAATATTTTTCTCTTGGTTTCTTCTGAATTACTTGTTTCAGATTTATCCAATATATTGAGTTAATAATAGAACACTGCAAGATCTTTAGATGCCTGACAGCTCAGTGGCTTAATAATTAACTTTCTGGGGCCAGAGACTGTTTTTATCCAAGAAAAATGTGTTCAGCCTATCCACCAGTGAGCCCTGTTGGCAGCATGTATTTCCACAAACAGCAATCTACAATGATTATGAGTAAGTGACTAGGGTGAGTCACTCCTTATTCTAAGAAAATGCAAACTATTTCTGAGGTTAGGATCACAGTCACCCATGAGGATACGTCTCTAGCTTCAAAAAAGTGGTAGGAGCAAAAAAGAAGAGAATTGTTGTTGCCCCTGGTTTTTAAGTTTGTTGGGTTTGGGGTTTTTTTTTTTGGGGGGGGGGGTTTAGTGCATGGCCCAGTCAGATTTAAGAGCTCGTCCTCTTTATGTGTCAAATGCCTCATTCAGGACAAGGGCTGGAATCAGTGTCTGGTGGCCTGTGTGTCAGTCTGCCAACTCCTCTGTGCTGAGAGCAACAATAACAGACCCCTGCTGACATCAACTGGCTTGGAATGCAGTTGTTGCTAATGCTGTTTTATCTGTGGAGTGATGGCAAGATTGCAGTCTGAGATCTCAGCAAACGTAACTGCCTCTGAAATTCTGATGGCAGCAGATGCTGCCTGGCTGATTGTTCCATTTGCTGTTCCCCAAGGTGCCAGGCTCTGCAAGGAGAGCTGGGACTTTGCAGTCAGGCAGTTCTGTTCACTTTCCCCTGCAGGAAAAGCAGCTTAAACTGTGGGAAAGTTAGGAATGGTTAAATCAGTAGAAATCTATTTTTTCTTTTGTGAATTAGACTGAACTATTCTCTTAAGCAAAGCTGCTTCCTGCTGCTCTATCCAGAATGATTTAAATTGCACAGAACCACAGTGGTGTATCAGCAGCAAGAAGCAGTTGTGGTTCTGCAGGAAAAGGAATTCACTACCCAACAATATTTCACAGATCTCTTCTGTTTCTAAATCTATTTTACAGCAGAGCAAACTGAGACACAAGAAAGTTATCCACAGCCATTCAGAAAGCTGCTGGCAGAACTCACCTGGAGCCTGGGAATCCTGATGTCTGTCCCTGTAGTTAACCCATGGCACCTCTGGTCACTGTTATCCTTTTGCTGAATATGGGATTATCCCAGGAGTATGGAAGCTCTGTTTTGATAAGGTATGATGCAGATTTAAGTACAGATCTAAACTTTGGGAAGTGTGTAAATTCGGGAAGAGGCACTGTTAGTCAAAACAGAAGTAATTAATGAAGGTTAATTATGTTTAGTGATATTTGACCCAAAGAAGAAAATGTTAGTGCTTTCACTCAAAACCTAACAGGAAACACATTAACCCTTTGGCCTTCAGAGGAACATTAGGAAAAAAGGCTAAGAGGGAGTTAGGGTGGGAGGGGTGCACTCCCTGAAGCTGGAATTTTCAGGAAAATCCATTCACAAGAAGATTCCTGCTCCGAGTGTGCAGAGCTGTCCCTTGTGTTTGTAGAACGCTTTCTGCTCACTGATCCAGGCAATGGCACTGACATGAGGAGGGCAGAAACTCAGCCTGTGCACAGCTGAGGGAGAATTGATTTGCTGTGAGTTTCGTAGCACTTCCTATGGATGAAGGGTCACTGGATTGCAGTCCTGCTCCTGGTGCAGAGCTCTGGCTGCCTCACACTGGCTCCAGGAAATGGATGCTCTTCTGCAGCAGCCAGGAGGTTTCAGGAGTTTTCAGGAGATTTCAGGAGTTTTCAGGAGGTTTCATGGAAGAGCCATGGCCCCTCTGCAGGCTGCAGTTCACCCTCTGCCCTGGGAGTGCCATCAGTGGGAGGGAAGTGACATTGGGATTTAAAGGGACCAGGAGGGGAGAGAAAAAATAAAGCAGGATGGAGAAAAATCCTGTTAGTTCTTACCAAGCACAACTTGCTTGACCACGTTAAAGTGTTGTGCTGATCATTTGAATAAAACAATGGGCCAGCTCCAGAAGTGAATGTGTAAATCATGTACCAGGAACAGAGTTTCAATTGACTGACACACTGGAAGCAAAATCAATGGCACTGACTTCACTGTGGGGGAGTTTGGATCACAACTACACTGCCTCTTTTGTTGAGCTTGTAATGAGGAATCGTTCTCCTTTATTTCATATCTTTCTCAATTTGCATTGCAATGTGGAATGAAAATCACGGGGTCATCTTTTGAAGGTCTTTTTTTTCAATATATATAGAAATCATGGGGTCATGCACACATTTCTATAATAA